CATTCTTGATGTGTCTTTTACTTTGTGGTTTTATTTTGCAACTTGTTACTTAAAATTGTGCTTCGCATGGTAACATCTAAATGAACTTGTTTTCTTCAAGTGAAAATGTTGTACTTAAAATGTTATAACAGTATATATTAACTGAATCAACCTACACCGAATCACATTAAGGGTCCATTTAGAAAAAATTATTTAAGCTAACAACTGTTTTTACTTTTAAAATTTAGGAGGGAGGTGTTATTCTTGTTAAAGTTTAATAACTGATTTCTTAGTATTATCAAATTGTTGATTTTAGAAATGGTTTATAAATGTGATAACTGTCCGTTTGATCGTTTTCATGATTTTAAAAATGCACACATAGTAAATGTATATAATATAAAGCAGTCTAATTTTGCAGGCTCTGAAGGCTTCCGAAATAACTAAAAGTACTTTGAGCTTACCCTATTTTAGATGTTAAAAAGCTGGAAATAGTAGATGAGACGTACACAACAGATAAGCTACAGCAGCTTGCATGTAGTGTTGTAACTACGGTGGCTGAGAGAGCTCAACGTGCTGCAACTTCAGAAAACACATGCAAATCGAAAAAGCACCAGCAAATTAAGAGAACATCTTCATCAGTTTGACAGCAGGTGCTGCAAATGCTCACAACGCAAACAAATAAAGATTTGTATTTGCAGCGCGTGTCTTTGTTTGGTTGTGTTGTGAGTATTTGTAGAGTGTGTGTTGTCAAATTGATGAAGTTGCTTTCTTAATTTGCAGGTGCTTTTTTCTATTTGCAGTGCATTTCTTTATTTGGTTGTGTTGTGAGCATTTGCAGTGCATGTGTTGTCAAATTGATGAAGTTGCTTTCTTAATTTGCAGGTGTTTTTTTCTATTTTCAGCGCGTTGGGCTCTCTCGGGCACCGTATGGCACACTTAGTTTAGGAAACAGCTGACAGACAATACCATGAACATCACCACGTGAGAAAAGTGTAAAAATGCATTATGGTAAGAGCATGAACTTCTGAAGAAGCAGCTGGTTAGTTTGCACAGAAAAACATGCTCAGCCACAAGTACCACAGCAGGAAAAGAGTCTTCAAAAGGGCACCAAAAGCAATGTGCAACCTTTTGTCAGGGTTTAATGTATAATGTATAATGATCTCTTTTCTCAGTTTTCTCCAGCTGACAAAGACTGACATCTTCTCTTTCCTGATCATGGGAGACGGTTGAATTAAATTACAAACTGATTCATTTACATGATATAACTTACCGTCTGTGTGCACCATGCACATCCAGGACTCCTTATACATTCAGAGCATGAAGAGTGAGATTGACAAAGTGGTTCCTGCCCTAAAATGCACATATACAGATCATTTCAAATATAAAGGCACCAAGACTGTTTTAAATTTTTTTTTAAAGTCATGGATGTGATTAAAGAGACCAAGTGCATTACCGAGTATACACCTCTGTCCCAAACAGTGAAAGAGAACCGTCACAGCTATCAAAATAGCCTTCATCTGCAGAGAAAGGAAAGTTGTATTATACTTCTGAGGTTACAATGACAAAAGGTTCATTTTGAGCTCATTTTATTAACATTTCTTCATTTTTAACATTTTCATATGAAATATACCTGTACTAATACTTTCTCCATGATACCATCCATTTAGTAAAAGCACATTAATACAGCATAAAAGTTCTTATTTAGCCTAACACTAATGTATTTATATGTACATAACATTTAATCAAAACCATTTTTTACACAAATTATGTTTCTCTTTCAATGTTAAATAAAAAGAAATATTCTTTCAACTGTCAAGTTCTTTGGGACCAGAAACAAATCACATTGTGATGTTCTCTTTTTAACATTTTACAAAAAAAAAACAGAATTTCTACACTTGCGTGACATACTACACCATATGACCAGCACAGGAATAAAAGAAAAAGAGCTAAATATATAAAAAAGCACCACTGCACCTCCACCAGACCACATACTGTTCCTCTTTTTATGCATGAGAACGTACTCAACAGCAGACACCTGACAATGAGTCAGGCATTACAAGATGGAAGTTTGCAAGCAAGGCGGCAGACAGACATACAAAATACAAAACCACAGAATGTCACCGTTCCTCTTTTGTAATTGTCGTTCATCATTTATCCAGCACAGAGTCATAGACCGGGTGAGAGACAAATAAATGAAAACACACATTCTTCTTGCATACTCAATAAGTAGGACTTGGTAGAGGTGCAACCACTTTTCTTTTTTAAATAGGAAGTAAAAACAGAACATACTCAAATTTTTAGGTGTGGGTTGACCCTATTTCAGTAACGGAAATGTTCAGAGAAGAAACAGACAGAAAGAGTAACTACACCTGATGGAGTTTCATTATATAATTTAGTAAAGCAAATAGTAGGCTATTCTAACAGAGCACAAAGCTAAAAATCAAGTTAACTTACAGATTTTCTTATATATTCCATATTGTAGACAACAGCTAAAAATGATAAAGAAAGCAGATTTTTTTTTTTACAATAACCTAATTAAATAGAGAACGAGTATATTTGTTTTAAAAGTTTTAAAAGTAAATGTATTTTGTTGTTTTTATAATTAGAAAAGCTTTAAATTGTTTTGGGGTAAAGTTACCACTTTTAATAAACTTGACCGTTTTCAAGGTACTGTATGATGGTACTATAACTAATTGATTAAGCTAAAAACAATATGAATGTCTAGTTAAGAAATTACAGCTCAAGTTCCTCATGTACATGGTATTTTCATATATTATATGGTAGAGTTAATGTCATTACTGTCAAGTAGCCTAAACACAAAGTTTTTAACCCTTTGAAAAACTGAAAATGCCAAATCTCAATTTAACTATATAGGCTATTTATTTAATTAATGTATTAATTAATTTATTTTCTTTCTTTAAAACAAAGTGGTACGCCCAACCAATAATTAAATTTTAAACATCAAGTTTTAGGCCACCAGCACCACAGAAATGGGCTTTTCTGCAAATTAACTTGTTACTTTTCAAACTGTTAGAAACTAAAACGGTCAAGCATTAACAAAAACCTAACCGTTTATAAAGCGTTCATGTTAAAGAGTTAAACGAAATTTATAATCATTTTCTAATAATTCGAAACGAGTCTCTTACCATAAATGGGAGATGTCGTGCGGAGCGTGTGAAAGCGCAGCCAAAGCGTCACTTGAGGCGTCACCATCATCCTCATCAGCATGTCTATGGCTGTGTCTCAAAACCTAGTGAGCTTTATACCTAGTAGCAAGCATGTTTGGTCGTTACAGACAGGTGCAACATATTTGAGCAGGTATCGCGGCTATGAGCCAAAAATAAATAAATAAATAAATAAATAAATACTACGCGTGTATGTGATTCCCAAAAATGTTGCGCGCCTATAACTAATAATTCGAAACGAGTCTCTTACCATAAATGGGAGATGTCGTGCGGAGCGTGTGAAAGCGCAGCCAAAGCGTCACTTGAGGCGTCACCATCATCCTCATCAGCATGTCTATGGCTGTGTCTCAAAACCTAGTGAGCTTTATACCTAGTAGCAAGCATGTTTGGTCGTTACAGACAGGTGCAACATATTTGAGCAGGTATCGCGGCTATGAGCCAAAAATAAATAAATAAATAAATAAATACTACGCGTGTATGTGATTCCCAAAAATGTTGCGCGCCTATAATGTTTAAACATGCTGTCTAGCCAGGCAGCGCACTAGGATTTGAGACACAGCGTGTCGATCACATCACAATACAGGCGTGTAATACAGGAATAATGTGGTCACTTTACTTTACCTCTTCCTCTTCCTCTCTAGATTTTATCTGTCTGTGCTCGTCTGTCTTTTGTAACTTTCCCCTCACAAGCCAAATGCAACACGCTTTAAAGGGGTCATATGATGTTGCTAAAAAGAACATTATTTTGTGTATTTGGTGTAATGAAATGTGTTTATGCAGTTTAAGGTAAAAAAAACACAATATTTTCCACACAATGTACATTATTGTTGCTCCTCTATGCCCTATTTTTACAAAGCTCATCGGTCTGAAAAGCGAGGTGTGCTGTGATTGGCCAGCTATCCAGTGCGTTGTGATTGGCCGAATACCTCAAGCGTGTGACGGAAATGTTACACCCCTTACCATACTGTGATGCCCTGTCCCGGCCGGAGTGATGAGACAAAAACATTAAAACCCATTATAAACGAGGCATTTGTTGCATTCAGTGGGGAAATATTAGAGGAACGGCCGGCGGATTCGACGAAGGAGCGGCCGGCGGGCTTGTAGCAACTACATGTGACTACCCCGGGCCGGACTCCACTTCGTCCACGGTTAAAGCAGATCCGGTGATCCACAGCGCAAAGTTGATGTATTTCCTCAGCGACCAGCACGGATCAGCTCTAGGCATGACTAAGCGGATATACAGAGAGAATATAAGTTACGCCTTCTTTCTTTGCGTGAACATTTGGGCGGTGTTATGCAAATCTTTCCACATGGTGACGTAGACATGTGGGGGCGTGTTAGAACGAGCCGTTTTAGGTAGGCGTGGTTGACTCTTAACTTTTATAAAGAATATCTCTTTGGATTTGAGACTTTAGTCTTTGCAACTTTACAGATCTTCTTTATGCACCAAGAGCTTGTAACACTCCAAAGAGAAAGGAAAAATTTAAATCACATCATATGACCCCTTTAAAATATTCAAATATGCTGAGAATAGTATTTGCTCAACTAAAGCTATACATTTGTATAAGAAGCGAGTATTTTTTTAACGTAAATTACATTATGACATTTTTTTTTTATATAATTTACTCAAGACAGCAGTTATTATCGTTACTAGGGTAATAATATTTTCGCCACATGGCGGCGCTCTTGTGAACTGTTTAGCATGGCATCATTTTCCTGCTATTGCACATGTTTGCTAACTTCTTTAGTATTGGAATCTCACATTTGTAATCTAAAAATGTTGCTTTGGAAAACCTGTGTTTTCTAACTATAAAATAAAGTGTATAACAACACAGCTGTTGACAAGCATCTTTATTTTACCACCACATGAATATGCTGAAAGGTGTATGTAGTCAGGGTTTCAAGGATGTTTAAGGATATTCTGGGACATACTGGAAGAAAACCGGTATGTGTGGTAGGATTAGTATATTTAATGTTTTAATTATGATAATGTAATATATATATATATATATATATATATATATAGTACAGTTTTGGGGGGATACCATATAGATAAGAAAATCTGAACTTTGGAGTCTAAATTTTGTACATTTTATAAAATTAAGCAAATCATTTGTTGGCCTTTTACAATAAAAATCCAAAACACACTGAAAATATGTAATGTCTTAACGAATTTCAATCTATGTTCAGTGAAAGCTTGTAAAATGTACAGGTTGCATTTAGCCCATTTTATTTATTTTTTATTTTTAAACAATAGTACAATTTAGTCCAGACATATTCCAAAATGAGAAATCCAGTAGTGAAATCTTATTTGTACTTCACGGCATAGTTCATCCAAAAATGAAAATTCTGACATTATTTGTTCACTCATGTAACCCATATTTCCTTTTGTGTTCATATGGTTTATGAAGAACATGAGGGTGATTAACTGAATGTTCTTGTATACTAAGATCATATGGCTCAAAAATCTTTCTATCCCACTGTAATTCTGTGCGTGTGTGTGTAGTCTAGACTGTTCCTCTCTTCTTGATAACATGCTCCATTGTAGCTGTCTCTGAGGTGTCCAAACTGATCTTGTATTTAGCCAGAATCTTGAGAATGGGCCTAAGCTTCAGCCACCACTCAGTCTTCGGTATACGATGTCTGGAACAGAAACAGACAGTGTGAGCACATGAGGATGCAGTGATAAGATAGGATTCATCCAGTGAATGACAATGTGCACAATAAAATGAAACAACGGTAAAATGAAACAGCAGGATCACTCACTCAAAGTCAGTGTCCTCTTTGAGATCAAAGAGAGGCTGGAAGATCATGGCTCTCTTCTTCATTCCCAAAACACAGGCAGAGTCTGGTGTGTTGGCAAAGATACGGCCTTCTCATATGAAGATATAGACAAAAAGAAAAATATTATTCACACAAATGGGTCAGGTTCATATGTGAGGCATTTTCCATGAATATGGTACACTTTGGTGTCCCACTGCTTTTATATAGTGAGAATTATTAGATATTAGTCACACTATTTTGTAAGATAAAATTAATCTAGCATGAAAAGTAGCAAGTTAAAACACATTAAATGTCATTATCTCTCTCTTAAAATGGTGATTTTTGGCCTTTAAACCCTTCTTGACTGTAACCATCAATTTAAAAAAAAAACAAGTCAAGCCATAATTTTGACTCTGATATTCAATTCATTAGTAAAACATGTTATTTGTATATTTTCTCATTATTTAGTATTAGTTAAAATATTTATAAATTATAATTAGTACTAGTAGTACTTAAACTTAAGTTAAAAATTATTATTAAATGTTTGTTGCTAAAAAATAACTCTCGCATAAACTACAATTGTGTTCAAACAGGTCATATAATGTTTAGTCCGACCTTCTAAAGTTGACTATTAGCATTTTATATACATTTGATGACATTTTTAAAAAAATTTCTAACTCTCTCTCTCTCTCCAGTCACTATTTTTACCTGGCAAGTGCTTTACATGTAAACACAATTCAAATCCAGTTAAAATCCTTTACTCAGCCACTCACTGAAATTACTCTTCACTCACCATGTCTGTAACACTCCTTCAGTTTATCAGTCAACCATAACACTGCTTTAGCACCCATCTTTGTGCCAAAGTTCCTATCAAATGGTGTAGGGGTTCCACCCTGAAATACCATAAGAAAAGAGATAATGACAAAGGAAATCTCAGCTCTGTTATAATGTTAAAAACAAAGAATGCTATCAATATTGTACACACAAACCTGCTGCATGTGTCCAAGCACATTCTTGCGGCAGTCAAAAACTCCCTTGCCCTCTTCGGAGTACAAGTTGAAGAGAAAATCTGTGGTATAGTTCGCATTACATTTCTCATTCCTGGGGGAAAACAGTTTGATGTTATTTAGACTGCTGGCACAAGAATGAAATAAGACCGGAGTCATTTGTCTAGATTACTGGAGAAGTTGACTGAATGTAAAAGAGAGAGCGAAAAGATGCAGAAACAGATTGTGTCATAGAATGACCAACCTAAGGATGAGGCCTCTTTTTACTGTGGTCTTCATCTTCTCCAGTAAGTGCTCCACGTTTGTCTACCTCCCAACCAGAAGTTTAATGGTTAAAAACAAGCCAAATGAGATATATACACTCAATAAAGCATCAGTCTAACCAAACATGTTTCACCTCCAGGTCGTGAATGCCAAATGGGTCTTCATAGATATAAGCAGCATCAGCCCCTGCAGCCAATCCTGCCATGGTTGCCAGATAGCCACAGTATCCCCCCATTGTTTCAATGATGAAAACCCTACGCTTTGTTCCAGCAGCGGATTGCTTGATTCTATCGCATGTCTTAAAAGACACAAAACAGATGCTTACACATATAGTTGTGGACTTACATGTCTGTGAACTGTATATTATTTTATTTTATAGTGTGTGGTTTCTCACAGTTGTGATAGTATTGAGAGCGGTATCAGCACCGATGCTGAAATCTGATCCAGGAACGTTATTAGACACAGTAGCTGGAATAACAACCAGGGGAATACACAACTCCTCAAATTTTTCTCTGGCAGTCACTAATTCCAAACCTCCAACAAAGGCCTAAACAAGAGAGAGAGAGAGTGTAAGAAGGAAACAGAAAGGTGAGGTAGTAGCAGATGGACAAATAAAAAGAATGTTTTTATTCATATTGGAACTAATATTCAGGATTTTCTCACCTCAAACCCTCCAATGATAACCAGGGCATGAATGTTAAACTTGGCTATATTCAGACTGATCTCTTCAATCATACTAGCTGGCAGTGACCTCCAGGGAGAAACAAAAACAACAACTAAATGCTGGAACTCACACTACACTAACATCCAAAGGATTAAAAAATCCTACTAATCTAATACTAATCCCCAAATATAGTTGGGTTGTAATATTAAAGCTCTATAAAGAGTTATAAAATGAATTAAATAAACATTTCTGTCTTACCGCTTGGTTCCTAAATTAGAACCGCCTTTGCCTGTCCAGCCTCCAACGTAGCCCCATGCCATTGGTTCAATCTGTGAAAAGCGGGAGACGGAGATGAAATTGAATAAACACATTTTTTCATGTGGACTCATGGATTCCTCATGTACGTTAAATACTTTACAGTTCCGTGTGCAAGTCCATCGAAGCCGTCATGTACAGCTAGCATGTTGTGTCCTTGAAGGATACCGATCCTGACGGCTGAACGGACTGCTGCGTTCATTCCTGCACATGGAGCTCCCACGTTCAGGATAGCTATGTTTATATTACTCTAAACAAGGAGAAAAAGATGGGAGGAGGAAGATGATAAAAATCACAATAAATATATATAGAGAAGAGGTAGAGAAATTCATGCATATTTGGAGTAAAGCCTAACAAAAGGGATAAACTGCATGATAAAATGGTGCTTGTTATACACCTTCACATCTGGGGCGGTCACATGAGCCAAGAGTTTATATGTGTTCCAGTTGTTCTCAAAACTCCTGCAGAAGAGAAACAGCAAATCAATCACAAGATTAGTTTGTTATAACAAAACGAAAGAAAGAAAGAAAGAAAGAACTCACTTTCCCCTGAGCTTAACAGCTTCCTCAAACCTGCCCTCTGCCATTGCTTTGGTCACTTCTTTTGTCTAAAACCGAGAATGAGAAGATATTACAAATTAAATTGCTTAACAATGGTACAAATCAAATCAACAAACCAAACATTTGCATCAGATGTTTGATTTGTGCCTCTGATTGGTTTATGCCATTTTAACATATGCCTCTGCAAAAATATAAATATATTAAATATGATATTTAATTACACTACCATTATTACCATAAATGGGATCAGCCAGATTTTTTAAAGCACATTTAAAAAATACTAAGTTTTTAAAATTGATAATAATAAGAATGTTTCTTAAGCACCAAATCCGAATATTAGAATGATTTCTGAAGAATCATGTGACACTGAAGACTAGAGTCATTACTGCTGAAAATTCAGCTTTGCCATCACAAAAGTAAATAAAATGTTTAAATATATTAAAAAAGAAAAAAAGTTCTAAACTATACTATTATTTCACAAAATTACTTTTTTTTATTATTAATTTTTTCTTAAATATAAGCAGCATTGGTGAGCATAGGACACTTCTTTCAAAAACATTTTTTAAAAATCCTACAGACCACACATATAAACTGTAGTTGATAGAAAATTATATAAAACATACAATTATTACAGGTTTTTTCAACTGCTTACACACAAAATCTTTACTTGTCACACAATTTCTGACACTCGAACACCAGAACCACAATCCAAATCTGCAAAACCATACACTAATGCTCGGTCTTTGACTCAGTTTTCAATTTTATAAATCACTTTTTTAAAAACACAACACACAATTCTCACACAAAAATTTAACAAGAAGTATTTTGATTTCCTTTTTCAAACACAACCAATCAAAACCCACATGAAAAAATACTATAGTCATTTATAGTAAATACTATAGTGTTTTTGAACCACTATAGTAAAGTGTATTATACTGTATATATTATAGTATTTACAACACTTTGTTAATTAATGCTACAGCATACTGTAGTATTAACTATAGCGAACTGATAAACTGTGATAAATACTGTAGTATACTTTAGTTTTTACTTTAGTAAACTGTAGTGTATTGTAGTATAATATACCCTATAGTTGTAGAAAACTTAGTACAGTATTGGGTAAAGTCATTTGTTTATATTGCTATAATTATTATATTACCACAGAAACTATAGAATTACCACAACAAATTACTTAGTACTTAGTAAAGTACTTTACTATAGTGTTTTTGAACCATACTATACTATACATATTTACTATAAATGACTATAGTATTTTTTCATGTGGGTAATGCCACACTAATTCATCAGTGCCTCACACTAACTCCTCACATGTGCAAACACTCATTGCTTTACTCAGTCATCATGGCTTTAGAATAGGTCTATAAATACACATCTACACAACTACACATGGCTGATGTATTTCTTTTCTTTTGTACTGTGTAATACTTTATTCACAACCACAAATGCTTACAAGTAAAAAAAAAGGTTGGTTTCAATCTTGCTTTCGTGTTTTTCAACATCTCTCTGCCAATTACTTTCAATCTTGTACAGAAATGTACAGAGGAACTCATGAAAGAAGAGCTTTAGGTTTTGAATAAATGTGTGTATATATATAATATAATATATAATATCATGGCAAAGGTGTTTGCAACGTAAGACAAATGTTTGCTTTTGAGATGTGTTTGTGATATTTGGAATGCAGTGCTCCATGTGAGGCATTTTGCATTTTGTGTGTGCAATTCTTGGATTTGTGTGTAAAGTGTGTAAAAAAAAAAAAAAGAGGCAAAGTTTTGAAAATGTGTGTAAGCAGTGTACAGCAAAAACGGCAACTAATAAAGTTATGAGCTATGAACTACTTAAGTATACAAATTAAAATAATATATAAAACAAACACATACTGTACATTTCTATTCTGGGAAAACAGCATTCTGTTTTAGATGACCACAAAAAAACAAATCAAATATGAAAATTATGGAGCCAAGTCAGAATGTGTCTGTTACTGCTCACCACTTGCACACACTCCATGAGGGGCAGTCGAACCGCCATGTTTCCAGACAGACTGACCACACATGCAGGGGTGTCAGGAGTGGCCTCTAGCAATGCCATCACAGCCTCCACCCCCATCCTACTGCCCTGAGAACAAGATAGACAGGGGAAGACCTTACTGGCAGCATTTTACAGATGCATCAAATAAACAAAAAATATTTTCAAAATCTGAATCACACCAAGATTCTGTCGAAGGCTGAAGGGGTTCCTCCTCTCTGCACATGACCCAGAATAGTGGCACGTGTGTCAAAGCTGAGCTTCTTAGTGACCAGCTAAACAAACACAAACAAATGTGAAGAATTAGCAATGTCATGTTAAGTACCGGCTGATAAAAAAATCACAATGATCATATTTTTATGCAGCAATGTTTGGCTTACATTCTTTAGAATATCACAAGTGATAGGTTTGCCGTGGCGATCCAAAGCGCCTTCTGCCACAATGATGACATTTAAACGATTGCCAATGCTTCTTTGCTGCACAATGAAGACAGCATAATGACATTAGACAGAATATAATAATGATGTTGACTATGATGACAAATAAGACAATTATAATATGTATAGATGTTACATAGGTAAGTCTCCTGCACAGATGGTCCTCCCATCCTTCATCTGGGGGCATTTCAGGAATAAAAACCCAGTCAGCGCCACACGCCAGGGCAGTGACTAAGGCCAAATATCTATATATACACACATAAACATATACATACACTCTCGTTTAGTGGCAGAACATAAGAGAAACACTGTATTGTGATAACCAGGGTTATTACAGTTAACTAAAATAAAAATAAAACACTTTTTTTACGTTAAAAAAATTAAATAAACATTAACTGAAATCAAATAAAATATAAAAACAAACTTATTTTATTGAATTTTTATTGACTCTAGTTTCCAAAGCAACATTTCTCAGTTTCAATTAGTATAACTTGATGTACTAAAATAACAAAAAAAACTAATAAAATAATAAATAATAATAAACATAAAATAAAATAAATAATAACATACAAAGTGACACAAGCACACAATAAATCACTAAAACATTAACTAAAATTTTAATGAAAATACAAAAATTATAATAACTCAATATAAAATATAAATATAATGTATCTCAACAATACTAAAATAACACTGGTGGTAACCTTGTGTATAACAAAACTACTGCAACTGATTTATGATCAATAGTTAAGTAAAATTACAGAACACTGATTGGCATAATATATTGATTTTGTTGTAGAACAGATAATAACGGAACATACAAATGACATATCCATGCACCATATTGCAACATACCCACAATGCCTCCCCATCACTTCCAGAATGAAGGCTCTTTGATGACTGCAAAGGTGAGATAAGAACAGACAAGTCAATGTGTTGTCAACTGTGTAGTGCCCTATGTACATGCAAGAGTGTGTTTGTATGTACCTCTGAGCTGTTGTTGTGATGGCATCCACTACTTCCATGATCCTGTGCAGAGCCGAATCAGTGCCAATGGTCATGTCTGTGCCACAGAAATCATTGTCGATGGAGCCAACCATCCCAACGATGTTCAGATGAGATGAGCGTTTAGCCTCCTCTGCTGTGATTTTACCTATGAGCAAAAACAGACATGTGTTTCTCTCTAAATCTCTGTGAAAAAGTGACACATTAAATCTTGTCAAGCTCCTTATTTTATATTAAGCTACAGTGTCTTACTTTCTGCTAAATATTGCATATAAAATATATTACCAAAGTTAAAATGTAGTTTCAAATACTACTATATACACTACTTTTCAAAAGTTTGGGATTTTTTAATATTTTCAAAAGAAATCTCTTACACTCAACATATATTTATCCTACCTGCTTTTAGCAAGATTTGGAGCAGTTCACTCCACTCATTGCGAAACTCATTGGCGCCTGTCAGGCTTCCATCTCCACCAATAACACACAGATTAGTGATGCCCAGCTTCACCAGGTTACATGCTGCTTTAGCTCTGCCCTCCTTAGAGCGGAAGTCCTGACAGCGGGCACTGCCAATCACTGTGCCACCCTGACAAAATAAGAAAAATAATAATAAACATACTTCAGCAAAAACATCAAATTAACTTCAGATGTTTTAGAGGAATATATTGTACTAAAGTGTGGTGGATGGTTAGTGTGGTTGAGATTTCCCTCAGCTGGTTTACCTAATATGAAAAGAACAATTTAGACCCACATTGCTTTCTGGCTACGGGCGCTAGACCAAAGGTTAAGGTTTGGCTGGTTAGCAAGGGTTTGAGACTGCCCACACTCTTGTGTCTTGTGGTGTCATTAGCCAATCAGCATTGTCATGACGTCATTTGTCTGTGGCTCATGTGATTACGCACTTGGAATTTGTGGTGTGGGCAGTAGTGTTTATATGTGTGTGTGTGTGTGTAACATTACCCCAAGTCTCAAAAGCAGGTCTCTGGGTGAACTCTGGCATTTTGTGCTAGACCATAGCAGTTATACTATGCAACATGATCGCTTACATGCATACACAAATAACCTGATGCACTCATCCCTTAGTTACAGTTATATTGATGTATGCACAATAATAAATACAAATAGCAAAAATGCTTGTTGAAAGCAGGAGCGTTTCTAGCCTTCCATAAACACTGGGACACAGGCCTCCCATCAAAAAGTGTTTTAAAATTGTGATGCTCTTTTATGATACTGTTTTGGATATAAATTGTCTTCACCTGCAGTACTGAGTATACTGCATATTCACAAGCAATAAAGAGCAGCTTCATTGCTGATAAACCAATGATATTAACATTTGCGTGTTTTGTGTCACACAAGGGAATGGACTATGGGTTAATTCCTCATTCAGCACCATATTTTTGTTTTCTGTCATAAAGTATGCTGTTACGGTGTGAGAAACTGCTACATACGATTAAGTGATTTAGTGAAATGTTTTGTGAATCGTGCCCCAGTAAAAAGGGTCTAGTGATGCTCCTGGTTGAAGGTGAAGGGAGATGATGAGTTTATTACCAGCTGCAGCATCATTGACACACTCTCCCAAGTTGCTTGTCGGATGTTATCTCCTCCATCGACTAGGCCCTGATAACCCTAGATGCACACAAAGATTGGAGGATGCATAATTGAACACACACACATTACATAATACATCAACTTTAAAAGATTGAGTGGATTTTGAATTGAGCAAAAGCTGAGTGAATTAGAAAGTGAATTTCAAATTCTCAATTTCTGTGTACAGCGAGTGCCAATCTTTCACCTTTAATTCTTTATTTCTTATGTGTGTGTGCTTAGATGTACAAACCTCATGTACAAAATAGACTTTCGCGCCGGTGTAGATCCCAACCCTCACCGTGGCTCGGACAGCAGCATTCATACCTGAGATACAGTATAATAAATAAAGAAGCATAATTATTGCACATATTTTCTAGACTTTTGATTTGCTAGACATTTACATACCAGAACTAGAGGTCTAAGGTTGTCTTTAATTTGTCACAAGCATTACATTTAATTAAGTTTTGGTGACTGTTCGTGAAAGGTATCAAGGTAACTACTAATTAACTGGAAAGTGGGTGAGAAAAACTGCTTTTGGTTTTATTCTAAACCTGTTATCTTGTCATCTGGTCACACAAACACACATGGTGGTTAAATCCCATTGAAAAGGGAAATCTAAGTGGCTCGAGTTTCATTTAAGATTGAACCAGAGGACAACAGGCAAGCTTCATTGCCCAGCTCTCTAAAGCAACCACATTTCCCCAAAGGTCACCGGCTAAATATAACACCCCTCAGACAGAGAGAGAGACAGAGAGATCATGGGGAGGAATTGAGTGAGAGTGAGAGGGAGAGGGAATGATGCGATGACCATAGTTAAGGTTCTTCTAGGACTAGTTGACATTACACAGTTATTTGACTTATTCTCCAGCTGGTACCAGATAAGGTTAAAGGTCGGTTCTTTTTCCTACTGCTAAAGGTTGGATAAAAGGTCAGTGTGAAAGCTTTAGCACCTCTCATGACCTCTCTGATATACGATTCCTGTTGCTCATTCAACATGGCTGCAATAGTAAATGAGGAGGTGGTAGTTCAATCAGGTAATCAAGCATCCAACAAAACCACTTCAAATGACCATCTATCAAGTAATGCCGAAAATTCAATAGCGCACACATTTGACTTTATGCCTTGCATTTTAATGCAAAAGAGACGGAAACTGCATATTGCTCTTGATAATGCAGACAAAAACCTTCCTAAACGACAAACACTGATATTTTTCTCACTCCGCAGAATAAAATCTCTATTTCAAAGGTATAGTTCTTCGGAAATTATGCCATAATTTTCGCACTCTCATGTCATTCTAGACACATATTCCTTAATTTCATGAAACAAAAGAGATGTTTAGCAGAACGACCATGCTGATCTTTTCCAACAAAAGTGGACAGTGATCTATACTGTCCAAATTATGCAACAACGATGAGGAAGAGAACAAATTGCACCAATTTGGAATACACAAAAGCATGAACAAGATTTTTTTCCTAAACATTTTCATGTGGAATTTTATAGTGTTTTTTTGGGGGTCTTGATAATATAAACATCTCCTTTAGTGTTCTATGGAACAAAGATATATAGGTTAATAAATTAATTGTTAAAAATTGATGTTAGCTTTACCTACTTTCCCTATTTTCTCTTACAAGGAATATCTTCCCTCACAGATTCATATAAATTATTTTACCTAAACTCTTGATGCATGTAAAATCATAGACATGTTATGCATGAACTACCCAAAAACAGCTACACTACCATTCAAAAGTTTGGGGTCAGTAAGATTTTTTTTAATAAGTAAATATTTTTTTTCAACAAGGGCATGTTTAATTGATCAAAAGTGACAGTAAATACATGTATAATGTTACAAAATAATTCAATTTCAAATCAAATCTCTTCTTTTGAGCTTTCAAAGCAACATATAACCCTGAAAAAATTGGATGAGGGTTTCCACAAAAATATTGCTTTCAACTGCGATAATGGTAAGATAGGTTTCTTGAGAACCAAATCAGCATGTCAGAATGATTCCTGAAGGATCATGTGACACTGAACATTGAAAAATCTTACAAACCCTAAATTTTTGAATGATAGTGTACATACACAGAAACATAGTAACCCAATAATCTATTCAGTTCAATTCAACTCACATTTATTTGTATAGCACTTTTCACGATACAAATTATTGCAAAGCAGCTTTACAGAAAATTTAAGTTTTTACATTTTAATCTATTGACATTAACTACAAGACCAGTGGTAGATTATTTGTTTTGTATAAAGTTGTCACATCATAAATGTCGAAAAGTTATGTTTTAAGGCACAAGACTTGTTACTTTCAGTATTAGAAATTAAGATAAAGAGATAATGAAATCTAAAACGCTTTAAAGCCCTACTTCCACAGAGTTGGTCTCCATAAAGGACCATACACACAAATACACACTTCCTCACCTTGTGCATCTCCTCCAGAGGTGAGGACAGCGATGGCTCTTCCAGTCCCCATCTTTGTGGGGTCCACAGGTGTTGAACGCTGCATATTGATGAGATGGCCTGGGGACGACAAGATAAATTTTGAAGTGAACTGTCACCTTTCTCTATCAGACCACTCTCTTGAAGACTGAATGAGAAAGTGGAGTGGGAACGTGACAGCAGTATGAACTCCCTCTACTCTGGCATGCAGTGTCACAGACAGTGTCCACCCCCTTCATAACTAAATTTAAAATTATCTGCAGTGGCACCACATGCTGCTAGTGTTCTGACTACACTGCATTTACTGTCACTTTAATCCCATGTTATGTGTTCTTTACACACAAACAAAACCAGATACAAACACAAAACTCTTACACAGACAAACAAAAGCATATGGTCATGGTTGGACATGCATACAGCAACATGACCGTTACGCTATCTTTTCCCATAGACTTACAGTCATTGTGTATGGTGCTGGGACAGCTGAGGTTGTTCAGAGTTCCATCTAAATACTTTGTAGAAGTGGGCTTTCCATCTATAACACAAGGGCATTGAAAAAAGATTAATTTATTTCTACATCCTAGAATAATTAACACAGCTCTGGCATGACTAAATTATTTATTGCACACTTCCATCTGATCCTTCTGAGAAAACACTCAATGTTATGAACACAATATTATGATATAATTGACAATATTGCGATTATATTATATTATGTTGAGGAGGTGTGTGTGTGTGTTTGTCTTTGTATGTTTAGTGCTGTTATATATAGTACAAATGATCCTTACTATAAAGGGCACAAGAAAGGACTTTTATCAAGCTCAAGACTTACCTATATGACCAGAACTGCATTATCACTATGTGTTTGTTATATCATGTAGATGAAGTAATACGTCTGCAAAATTCTGCAGATTTAATTTTACTATGATCTAATTCCACATATTTAGGTCTATCTATCTATCTATCTATCTATCTATCTATCTATCTATCTATCTATCTATCTATCTATCTATCTATCTATCTATCTATCTATCTATCTATCTACCAATCTATCTGTCTGTATGTCTGTGTACTGGTATATATGATTTATAAGGACACAAATGTGTATAATGATATGGGTACTACAACGTAAACATAGTTTATGAGGACACTTCCTGTGTCCCCGTAAGACAAAAGGCTTAAAAAACATACAAAATGGTGTTTTATGAAATTCAAAAATTGGCAGTAGTTTTCTGTAAGGGCTAGGTGTAGGTGTAGGGTTGGTGTAGGGCGATAGAAAATACAGTTTGCACAGTATAAAAACCATTACACCTATGGAGAGTCCCCATAAACCATAAATGCAAGTATGTGTGTGTGTGTGTGTGTGTGTGTGTGTGTGTGTGTAAATTCAATATCCACCCAATTCAGTAATTTAAGGTAAATACATGGTAAATATATCTTATGTTTCTCCATTTACAAAGAGGAAGACTTCTAGTCACCAAGATTAGTGTCTGATGAGATTATAGTAGAGTCCGGATTAAACTCTACCACTCTAGCATCCCAGTGTGCAACAGCTGCTGGTTGTTGGATGACATTGGTGTTAGATGTCTAGACTCCAGTATGTTACTGTCCACTGATCGAATGCTGCTGTGGATCAGGGTCAGCAGACTAATCAGAGTTGCTGGTGTTTTTGCTTACACCCAGCCAGTCACGTGTAAATTAGTTGTTAGTGGTTAGAGAAGCTGAGTAGTACAATCCTGCCAATCCTGTTTTGAACAAGTTATTTACAGAGTAAGAGTTAAACCTCCTTAACACCAGATAATTCTCTTCAGCAACATTAAATGTAGCGTGATCAGTTCTCAATAAAAAGATATCCTGAAAGACTCTATCTTTTTATTGAGAACTGATCATGTGTGAAAAAGTTTTTGCCCCCTTCCTGTTTTTTTAATTGTTTGCATATTTGTCACACTTAAAAGATTCAGATCATCAAACTAATTTTAATATTACACAAAGATAACCTAAGTAAATACAAACTGCAGTTTTGAAATTATGATTTCATTTATTAAGGGAAAAAAGCTGTCCAAACCTGCCTGGCACCCTAAATCTAATAAATGGTTGTGCCGCCCTTTGCGGCAACAACTGCAATCAAGCATTTGCGATAAATGGCAATGAGTCTTTCACAGGAATTTTGGCCCACTCTTCTTTGCAGAATTGTTTTCATTCAGCCACATTGGAGGGTTTTTGAGCATGAATGGACTGTTTAAGGTCATGCCACAGCATCTCAATCGGATTTAAATCTGGACTTTGACTTGGCCACTCCAAAACCTTAATTTTGTTTTTCTTGAGCCATTCAAAGGTGGACTTGCTGGTGTGTTTTGGATCATTGTCCTGCTGCATAAACCAAGTGCACTTGAGCTTGAGGTCACAAACTGACGGCCGGACATTCTCCTTCAGGATTTTCTGATAGAGAGCAGAATTCATGGTTTTTTTTTCCCTTAATTAATTAAATTATTATTTAAAAACTGCATTTTGTATTTACTTGCATTATCTTTGCGTAATATTAAAATTTGTTTGATGATCTGAATCTTTTAAGTGTGACATATGCAAACAATTAAAAAAACAGGAAGGGGGCAAAAACATTTTCACACCACTGTATGTATACTGTATATATATATACAAACACATCTCTTCCATCTTTATTTGACCCTCTAACTCTAGTATGTATGATTTTTTTAATCCTTTAAGTTACTGCAATGAGAGATTGTACAATGTGATCTCAAGGCAGACAAAAATTGTATTTGCCTCAGATGGCAAAGTCAAGGCCAAATTGTAATAGAAATAATGACTAAATACTTTTTTGCCCCACTGTATATATATACACACACTTTATATGCATTCATACAGAAATAAATAAATGCAAAACAACACCCAAATTATTATTGACATTTACTCTAAGTTAGTTTTTCAAAACTAAAAATGTATTACAATTTTAGTCTCCTTAGTTTTAAATCTAGTCTCTTATAAAGAACGCAGGGCTGGCGGTTGATCCCAAAAGTTACTGAGGGGAACTGACTACACAGATGAACGTGTATGTCCATTTAATTGATTGCCAAAATACTACTACTACACTTTCTAGAAGAGCCTTACCAGCACATAGTTCGGACTTTGATTCATCACTGCTACTTGAATGTTTTGATCCTGTTTACCAAAAAAACAACAACACATTTATATTCATTCATTCATGACTCTTTCTGTGTTACATCACTACACCAGTTGGTGGCAACAATTTCTTTTGAGTATTAGGAATCACTGTTACTCAATCAATTAGTTCAATTCAGATTCATAACAAAAACTGATTTTAAAAGCAATTAAAGAAGTAAAGGCAAGTTCATTGTTTTCAAACTGACAGTAAATGCTTTAATACAGAGTCTTCTCAGAGTCTTGTAAAAGAAGATATTTTAAAGAATGTTGGTAACCAAACAGTTTTGGTTCCCATTGACTTTCATTATATGGAAAAAACGTCGATGGCAACCAAAATTGTTTGGTTACCAAAATTCTTCAAAATGTTTTCTTGTTTCCATCATTCTTCTTTTATGTTCCGCTGAGGAAAGAAAGTCACAAAGGTTTGGAACGAAATGACGTCAGAATTTTTTTTTTGGGGTGAACTATACTATGCTACTGTGTGTTTACAAAGATTAGACCTATTTAATTTTAATATGAAATGTCGAGTTATTTTGCCCTTCTGATTCATACTATCAATCATGTTAGTGCAAAATATACCATTAGACAGCTTATTGAAGATACATTCCCATTAAGATAAGATCATTTCATTCCCATTTTTTCTTAAGAATAAAGTAAATAGATGGAATTGACTTCAAGAAATCCAAAATTCTAGAATCAAACAGTTAATAAGCCACTCCTATTTTATAAATATCAATCCCCCTTTATGAGCAATGCTTGCTTACTGTGACATCATACATTAAAGTGCTGTGTCATTTGGTCATCTGCCTGCTTGACCGCTGAAACATGGCATCTAGTACTCAACACACAGATACACACTAACACACACACAAGGCTACATACAGTCACAACAAAGTAGACATAAAACAACATGCAGTTTTTTATTTTTACACACATTTGAATGCAAACACACAAACACTATGCGTACCGTAGACATGATTAGCATCAAATTGATTCTTCCTGTGCGTGAACTGCCAGATGAACACCGCCAGCCAAATATGAGGAATCCAGTGGAACAGGAGTAAAGACAGTTGCAGAATAAACTCGCACAACTCTAACAAACAAAAACTAATCTGACATACACATACAAATACATCCCAAACGCATACACACACCTGCCAGACACACACACAGCTGTCCAACACTGCCTCCATTCTTTCTAGTAGAGTGAGATGGTGTGGTGGCCATGGCAAGGTCTTATCAGTATTATTAGAACTGACCTCACGTTCCTACTCACGTTTTTTTTCTCTCTCCTTCCCTCGTTTTCTCCCTTTCTAAGCACTATCTTCATTTCTTCTGCCTTTTCCAGCAAATCTCTCTCTAACTCTCTGGTATTTTAAATCTGCATTTGTTCACTGGTCTGTTTCTGCTGAGTTTTTCTTAATCAAATAATTGAATAGTATTTTAGTGCTGGCTGAATACTTAGAAATCAGCTGGACTCACAGCAGTAGAGGAAGTCTAATACTGTAATAGGATTGCATGCAACAGAGTTCACGTGCAGATTTTATTGGATCAAAGCGGGAGTTAATGCAGGTAATGAACTACTATGTTAGGGTAAAGGTTAGTAAAAAACAGACCACACTTTTGACTAACATGATTAGTAGAGTCTTTTTGTTTGTTTTCCTAGCAAGGCTCAATATTATGGATTTTTTTCTGTATCACTAATACATGTCACTAACACTAACAAGGTACCATGAGAAGATACAAGTGTTATTATTTTCTTTTCCAAATATTGAATAAATATTTATTTTGTAATAATTGAATAAATACTACGACATCTAATAAATATTCATATTAGAATAACCATTAATATTGTAATAAATAAGGCTGCTTTATTAATTAATTAATTAATATTTTAATTACTTAATTCATTCATTCATTGATTCATTAAATGTTATCTTTCCCCCTTAAAGATGTAATAATAATAAATAAATAAATAAAATACATTTAATTAATTAATTAATTTTTATTTTATTTTAGTTTTAGGGGGAAAGATAACATTTAACAAAAAAATATATATTTTTCTGACAAACACAAACATATGCTGCTAAGAATAAAATCACCAGATAATTTTAGAAGGGGCCTGTGAAAATATAGGCAAATGCAAATCTGAACTAGTGGCTCTGAACTAATAATTACTGAGCCCTGCCTTATACTATGTAGTGCAAACTTTTATGTAGAAAATAGCAACTATTGAAACATTTATTGAACATTTCTAATTTCTAATCAGGTCTTTATTATTCATTTCAGTTGATCTGGAAAAAGGCAAATACTACAGACATGATTATCACAGACTATCACAATAGTAACAGATTATGTTGATTTATTTCTAAATAAATTAATATTCATGAGCTAGGGCTGCATTATGAAATATCACACATATATTACATACAGAACAACAGAACAAAAATTCTTGTTGTATTCAGTATCTTTCTCTTTTTTCTACGTGTTAGTATTAATTTAACAAGTTGCAATACTATTTCTTACCAGTGGGTGGAATTAGACGCTACTTGCTTCTCACAGTTATACAGGGAGGGTGACCCTCTATATATATAAACTTGGACTTTTGTGACTCTTTTCATTTACTAAATTAGTCATTTAAAGGCTAGTGTTGCCATTCTGTAATAATGTACTGTGGAAAGTTTTATAGAAATATCTGAGAATCTTTAAATCCATTCTTTCATAGGCTTTTCTCTCTCTCTTAGGTGTATACCTCATACTGTATTGCTTCTTCCAGCTACTTTATTTATTCATCACGTCTGCTATTTTCACTTGATTCATTCCCGCATATTTAATTTCTCTTTAGCCTTTTCACCATCTCTTTTTCATCCATTTATCTTCTCCAAATAAAATTCTGTTTGTCCTCTTCCCCTCCTCGTCCTCCTCCACCACCACCCACCTTCAATTTGGTGACTTGCCCTCTCCTAACTTCCCTTCTTTCATGATCTTTCTCTTATCCCCACTCTTCCTGTTTTTAATTGTATGCTAAATAAAATGCTAAACCTACACACCCTTGACATTTAAAGCACACACACTTGAGAATGCACACACACACATATGCTTTGTGTTGAATATGAAATTAGTATGTGTGTGTGTGTGTGTGTGGCCGTGTAAGAAATGAAATGGAGGGTGTTTGCGTAGTGGAGCTGGGTGTGCAATTTTTAAATGCTAAAACGTTGTGTATGTGTGAACATGAGTTGGCAATAAAAACTAATTAAGGAACAAACTTTTATTATTGTTCATACTTGGGCTTCAGAGTTGTTTATAACATTTCTAAATTATCCGACCAATGGATTTCTTCAGAAAATTTTTCAGAAATCACATGATCCTTCAGAAATCATTCTAATATGCTGGTTATTATTATCAGTGTTGAAAACAGTTGAGCTGCTATATACTATAATATTATTACAGTTTAAATAACTGTTTTCTATTTTCATATATTTTCACATTTAATTTATACTGGTGATGGCAAAGCTGAATTTTCAGCATCATTACTCCAGGTTTCAGTGTCACATGATTCTTCAAAAATCATTGATTTGGTACTCAGGAAACATTTTTATATTGTGAAAACTGTGAGTTTATTAGGATTGTTTAATGGAGAACATAATTTATCTGAAACAGAAATCTTTTGTAATATTCTAAATGTCTTTACTCTCACTTCTTGATCAATGTAATGGGTCGTTGCTGAATAAAATAAAAATATGAATTTCTTTAGAGGAATACGGATAATACTGAGACCTCGCCATGTCTACTGTCAGGTACATTTATGACATCATTGTTCACTCAAAGAGCTGGACAGAACATCTCTGGAAGGCTGCTAGATGAGCTTCAGAAGCTGTACTGATCACCAACCCATGAAACACTGTCTGGGGCTGTCAGAAGAATGTTACATGGGAAATGGATGAGGGCTGATAAGGCCTACCAAGAAAAAGGTAGAAGAAAGTTTATGAAGAATATACTGGTTTGGAAAGACATGTGGGTGAGAAAATGATTACCATTTTCATTTCTGACTGAACTATTCCTTTAGCATTGGTACTAAAAAGACACACACACTGATCAGGTCTTGTGGAACTGAGCATAATAAATACCACCTTCACTTCTAAACCTGTTTTTGGAAAGATGCTGTAAAAACAAAACCTATTAATGATGCTTGCTGAGAAAGACAGCACTATGTGGTCAGAATGGGGAAAAATAATAATCAGCATGTGGTTTTTCAAATTCTCTTTCTCATAGACATATGCACACACACGCTAACAAACATTCATGCTACTTTGCCCATAAGGATATGTGCTAACTTTCATTCTAACACACACACAGACACACTGTTTCCCAGTTTGACACCTAACAACTTTGTGGTAACAAGCCAAATCTATTCAATTACAGCAACAAATCCCCTCACTCTTCCATTTTTCCTTCTCCATCTTTCCATTCTTTTTATCTTGCCACTAACAAGCGAGCATTTAGCCTACACCCAAGAACATTTCTTGGGGTTTCAGTGTGGTGTTAGCCGTTATATTTTGAATTTTTCTTTTTACTTGTCTTTTGTTCTTGAATGTCAAAGTCGGATAACCCAATATACCAGCATCTTTGTACAATGAGGGTACTACATTGATTTGAGAGATAAAAAGAGATGATTAAGATAGCAGCTATTTTGTTTTCACATAAGCATCATTTCCATCATTTTTGGTTTGTCAACATTGATGCAAAAGCATGTATTCAAGATGTTCATAATATAAAGTTAATTTGAATTGTACTTGTTCAGGCAAGGCACAAAGTGGTGCCAATGCATATATGAACATGTTCTCAGCATCAAAAGATTTCAAATGTAACTTGAAGAAGCAAATAAACAAGGTAAAAGTAATTTATTTTAACTAATAGAGTATCGGGTAATCTGTCCTGGCCTGAACTGGCTGCTAGCGTTATGCTTTCAACTCCCCATGTCTCAATCCACCCCAGTGGGTATTGACTGCAACTTGACAGACACACATTCAAGAGCATATTTCAAATACCAGCCTGCACGGTTCTGAAGGTGTGAAGATATTCAGTTGCTTAGCCGCTCTGTTTTTTAATAATACACAGAATATGTCAGTGAGGATATTGATTGTTGACACCAAAGGAGTTATTAATTAACAACCGGTATAAATTCAGTAGAAACATGAACCAGCTAACAGTACCTGAAGTGTTATTACAAGAAGAACAGGACTAGATAAGATCTGAAAGTCAAGAAATTAAACCTTTGCCATACTGGCTTTAAGTGATCAAACAAAATGGCAAAATCCTTGAAACTATCAAAAAGAATTCTCTCCATATAAGACTTGTCCAGGAGTCTTTAACAAGTGATCTGCACCTCCTGTATAGGGAGTCTACGGTGGTACTGTATGTGTTGGACAGTTGTATGTAATTTTTGTAAAAAAAATAAATAAATCCTAAAGTTTACTTCAACCAATATTAAATATAAGAAAATGGACGTTAAGTGTTTCATTGTCCTTGCCACATTAAAATATATGAAGTAAAATTATGATATAAAGTACAAATATACTGACTTTGCACATCAATAATTATTTTAATGGCTTTGCAATGTAATCATTATGACAAAGTTCACAGATATATTCATGTGAAACTATACATTGCCATTCAAATTTTTGGGGTCAGTAATATTTTTTTGAAAGAAAGAAATATGTTTATACAGACATTTCTATAGCAAATTAATGCTGTTTTTTTTACTTTCTATTAATCAAAGTATTCTGGAAAAAAAAGTAGCACAGTTATATTTAGCAGCACAACTATTTTCAACATTGACAATAATAAGAATAGTTTCTTGAGCACCAAATTATAATGATTTCCTAAAAAACTGTGAAGACTGAAGTAATGACTGCTAAAAATTCAGCTTTGCCATCACAGGAATTAATTGTATTTTAAATTTTATTAAAGTAGAAAACAGTTCTATACAATTTTACAAATATTTCAAAATATTAGAGCGTTTACTGAATAATTTTTTAATCAAATAAATGCAGCCGTGGAGAGCATAAGAGACTTCTTTCAAAAACAGTAAAAAATCTCACCAGTCAAACTTTTGAACAATAATAGGCCAGGATTTTAAGAAAATGTTCAGTTTTATGTATAATAGGGGCTTCCTATTAAAGTGTTATTCACTATAACATGCAAGTGAGTATCACAAAAAGGCAG